AAAAAAAAAAGATAGAAAATAAAATATGCTGGCTCAACAAAGACAGAAAGACAGAAGAGAAAGGAGGGAGCCAGTGGCAGCAAAGCAGAAGGACTGTGACCAGTCATCTTGTACAACTAATATTATTAAAGAGTGGAGGGAGCTTGAGGATCAAGTTTTCATGGCTTCTGGATTCTTCATGGATTCTCACTCTCTAGCTTCCTGTCTGTTGCATGGAGCAAAACAAGAACCACAAGCAACCTTCCTCCCAGAATGCCTTGTTTTACTTAACAAATTCATAGATGAGAGGTTAACTTCAGAGCCTCTGCTGGCAAACATCACTCTCAATATTGTAAGGAGACCCTCTCTACAGAAATCACAGTAGCTCAGTAGTACATCTTAGAATACATATATCAAACATCAGACTTGGGAGGCAGGGCCAAGATGGCAGAGCAGTCAGATGCTTCCTGTGGTCCCTCTTACAAAAACAGACCCGAAAAAAACAAGTGAATCGATTATATACGACAATCTAGGAGACCTGAACATCAAAGACAAAGTTGAGGAGTCGGACTGAGTGGCAGGGGGAGGGAGAGACAGTTCAAAAGTAGCAAGGATTTGCCAGACCTGACCTGGCTGGCACCCTGCAGGCTGGATTGGCTGGCACAAGCAGGCTGAGACAAGCAGTAGCACTCAGGACATGTTTTCCACATCGAGAGAAACCAAGCAGCAGAGAGACTGCTCAGGCCTCGGAAGCCAGGTGGAAGTGGCCCTTAACCAGCAAAAGATTAAGTATAAGCATCTAACCTACCACTCGGATCAAAAAAACCTTCCCCACTTTGGGAAGTACCTGTCTCCCACTTACCTGCCCCCTCCCTGCTCTGCTCCAGGTTCCAATCTGGCTTCAGCAATTGCTGCACCCCCTGGGCCGTAAGTAGGACCAGTTGCACACCCCGAGCCATTGTCCCAGCTTTGGAGAGGGAACAAGTTAACAGGCAGGAAAAAATAATCTGCCAGCTCCCCTAAGCCAGGAACTCAAGGCAGGCACAGTCCCTTTGCCTATGCACAGGCATAAAGGGTCCATGGACTTCGAATGTCTTTCACCCCTGCCTAGATTTGTATGGGCCCATTTCAACACCTTATGCCGTCATTAGCACAGGACAACAAGGTATATACCTGAAGCCTGTTTTCAACTGCAACAGATAATGGGGAGTGTCAGATTTGAGGCATTTGACACTGCCCTGCCCATTAAGCAGGGTCCTCACCTACTCACATCAGGGGTCTGAGGATTGGTGGCCCCACCCACTCCACCAAGCCACCCACGACAGGGGTCCAAGAACAAGTGGTGCCTCCCAGCCCTTATAACCAACAGCATTGGGAGCACAAAGTCCAGCTGCAAAACCGACCCACCTGTGCACTCTAGGGAACAGGGACACCCCTTCCACCCAGGCACTCAAGGAGAGCCATCAGCCCCCTGCCATGCTCAGCACATGAACCCCTACTGCAGTCAGATGCCTGTGCCTACTCGAACCACACCTGCCCATCTAGAACTGAACCTGACAGCCTGCACCACACAGGGGGGATAACAGAAAATACAGAGAGAACTGTTGAAGATTTGTTGGCGGAAAACCCTGATATCGTGAAAGATGACAAGATATCTATCCAAGAAGCTCATCAAACCCCACACAGGGTAGATCCCAAAAGAAAGTCAGCAAGACATATTATAATCAAACTTGCCAAAACCAAAGATAAAGAAGAGAATTTTAAGAGTAGCTAGGGATAAATGAAAAGTCATCTACCAAGGAGAGTCAATAAGACTAACCTCTGACTATTCAGCGGAAACTATGCAGGCAAGAAGGCAATGGGAAAACATATATAAAGCCTTGAAGAAAAAAAATTGCCAGGAAAGAATTATATAACCAGCAAAACCATCTCTCAAATATGATGGCAAAATTAGGGCATTTCCAGATAAACCAAAGTTTAGCAAATTTGCAAAAAACAAACAAAAATTACAAGAAATACTAAAAGGAGTCCTTGGGTTAGAAAATCAGTAACATCTTCTAAGACTAGTAGGCTGGACAGAACAACCAGATATCAATCCAGATACAGTAGTCACAAAAAGAAATCAAAGCTAAAACACTGAAAATAGGGAAACAGAGACATCCATATGTACAAGTTGACAACATTAAAACAAAGAAAAGGGACTAAATAATGTAGTCACAGAACTTTCATATGGAGAGGAAGTAAAGGTGATATCAAGAAATAAAAGATTGGTTTAAACTTAGAAAAACCGAGGTAAATATTAAGGTAACCACAAAGGAAATTTACAATCCTACACATCAAAATAAAAAGAAGGAAAACATAACGACTCAGCAAATACAAAATCAACACAACGAAAAAGATGAAAAGAAAATACATAAAGAAAAACGACTCAGCAGAGAAAATTAAGTGGAACAAAGAAACTGTCAACAACACAAAAAAACTGTCAACAACACACAAAAAAAGACATCAAAATGACAGCACTAAACTCATACCTATCAATAATTACACGGCACATAAATGGACTAAATGCACCAATAAAGAGACAGAGAGTAGCAAAAAGGATAAAAAACATGATTCGTCTATATGCTG